GGGGCGGAAAGGGGGGTTCCCGCCAGCAGAGGCTGCCTCTCACTGCTCCCCCTTCCTCTCCTGCAAGGTTCCCCGGGTTCAAGGAAGTGCGGCTGGTGCCAGGGCGCCACGACATCGCCTTCGTGGAGTTCGATAACGAGGTGCAGGCCGGGGCCGCCCGCGACGCCCTCCAGGGCTTCAAGATCACCCAGAACAATGCCATGAAGATCTCCTTCGCCAAGAAGTGAGGCCGTGGCCTCCCCGCGTCCCGGTCTTATCCCTCAGGGCTGCCCCCATTCCCCTTTCTCCCCATGTTGTTTGTACTGACTGTCAGGTAAGTGCTCCCAGGCTGGCCCATCCTGGCACCCAGAGTCTTATGCACCATGCCTGACTCGCAGCAGCCCCTTGCTCCCAGCGGGTAAGTGCCCCGGATGCCCACCAGCAGCTGAGCCAGCCTTGGTAGAGCAAGGCAGCCCCTGGAGACCGGGACCGGGTGGGTAGGGTAGGGCAGGGAGACAGTTGATGGCCTCATGGAAAGCATTGTACCCAGGGTCTGGTGCTCAGACATTGCACCTGGAGCTTCCCGCTGTGTAATAAAGTTGTTTTGTTTTAGAGGTCGGTGGGTGCTGCCCCTTCCTTCACCCGGGTCCAGGTGCTGGGTGGGGGGCGCCTCGGGGTGCACTGCCCAGCAGTCCTGCTGGGACACCCCAGTCTCCCCGCTGTTCCAGCAGCTGCTATCTGATCCTGTGATTTTGCACCGTGGACCGGCTGGCCACGAGGGCATCTAATGGGGCTGGGAGCGCAGCCACTGCCAGCAATGGGGATGGGGACAGTCTGTCTATGGAGCCAGCCCCTGCATCACCTTATTCTTCAAGGGAAACATACAGAGCCCCCACCAGCCCCTTCTCTGTGCACTGCTGCCCTGAACTGGGGGCTCAAACATGCTGGGGGGAGCAAAGCATACACTCAGAAAATGAGGGGTGAAGGGACCCCAAGAGGTCACACCTGGTCCAACCCCGACCAGCCCCCAACTACATCATCCCACCTCTCTAGATAACCTGTTCCTGTGCTTCACCAGCCTCATTTTCCTACTATCCAACCTCAACTTCCCTTGCTGCAGCTTGAGCCCATTGCTCCTTGTTCTGTATCTGCCCCCACTGAGACCAGCCCAGCTCCAGCCTCTTTGCAGCCCCCCTGCAGGGAGGTGAAGGTTGCTAGTCGATCCCCCCTCGGTCTTCTCTTCTGCAGACTGAATCAGCCCATTTCCCTCGGCCTCTCCTCACCAGTCTCGTCCCCCAGCCCCGCATTTTCATTGCTCTCCGCTGGACTCTCCAGTGTGTCTACATCCTTTCTGTAGAGGGGGGCCAAAACGGCACCGGACTCCAGACGTGGCCTCCTGAGTGCCAAATAGAGGGAAGACTCGCTGCCCTCGACCTGCTGGCAGTGCTCCTACTGGTGCAGCCTAGGATCCCGTTCGCCTTCTTGGCAACGAGGGCACACTGCTGGCTCCTGTTCAGCTTATTGCTCCCTGTGCGCCACCCACCCACACCAGGTCCTTTTCTGCAGAGCAGCCCGTCGCCCCCGGCCTGTCCCGGTGCAGGGGATTGTGTCCTAAGTGCAGGACTTTGCACTTGTCCTTGTTGAGCCTCATGAGATTTATTTTGGCCCATTCCTTCAACTTGTTGAGGTCTCTAACTCACAGCCCTGCCCTCCAGAGCATGGTGGGGGGGCACAGCGGGTGGCTCTGTGTCCCTGCCTGCTTACGGGGCTTCTCTGGGCTCCCCTCTCCCAGCCGACTAGTCCAATGGGAGCCGAGCCTGGAGGAGGTCTTGCTTTTCCCCTCCTACCCCCAGCCCCTTTGCCGCTGGGAAGAGCAAACAAGGGCCCCACTGTGCTCGGGCTGCTCCATGGCAGGGGCGGCTGCTCCTGTTCCCTGGCCCGGCCCCTGGCTCCGCATCTCTGCTCCAGCCCTCAGGTTCACGGCTCCTGCCCGGGCCAAAAGCAGAGCGGGAGGGAGACATTTCACAGAGGCTTCTTGAAGCTGCCCTGTCCTGGCATCCAGCCCCTTTCTCTGGGCTGGGCACCACCCAGCCTGGCCGCGCGGCTGGCTCTGGGGTGGAGCGCGGCAGCAGGGACCCCAGGCTGCTTGAAGCTGACAGCACCTGGGGTTCAGCACCCCTGAGTCCGGGGGGGTCTGAGCCCTCCGCCATTCCCCGGCTGGTCCCTGGCATGGGGGGCATCTCCCAGGGAAAAAAGGCCAAGGCCGGGGACGAGAACCGGAGCCGGACACCAGCACCCCCCTGCTCCACCCCCAGGCCGGGCACTCGCTTCGAGCTCCACCATGGCCCTGGCCTGGGCCTTGCTGCTCGGTGCCCTGCTGGGGGCTGCCCGCGGCGGCCGGCACATGGACAAGCTGGCGGAGCGCAAGCTGTGCGCGGACGCCGACTGCAGCCGTGAGTGCCGGGGGGGGGGCGTGGAGAAAGGGGGCCAGGGCCGTGCCACGGGGGCAGGAGACTACCCGTCTCCCCCTGTGGGGGGTTGTAGCCAGGCCAGGACAACCCTGTCCGCTCTCCCCCACCCCCACCAGACCCCATCTCCATTGCGGTGGCCGTGCAGGACTACGTGGCTCCCGACTGCCGCTTCCTCCACGTCCAGCGGGGCCAAGTCCTCTATGTCTTCTCCAAGCTCAAGGGCCGCGGGCGTCTCTTCTGGGGTGGCAGTGTGAGTGTCGGGGCGCCGGGAGCCCCACTCGGGCTTTGCTCCGTGACCCAGAGAAGTGGGAGGGGGTTGGATCCAGGCTTGCGGTGGCCGTGCAGGACTACGTGGCTCCCGACTGCCGCTTCCTCCACGTCCAGCGGGGCCAAGTCCTCTATGTCTTCTCCAAGCTCAAGGGCCGCGGGCGTCTCTTCTGGGGTGGCAGTGTGAGTGTCGGGGCGCCGGGAGCCCCACTCGGGCTTTGCTCCGTGACCCAGAGAAGTGGGAGGGGGTTGGATCCAGGCTGCCCACCCGCCCTGTGTGTGGCAGGGCATCTGCTTGCTGGGCTGCTGCTCCCAGGTCCATGGGCCTGTCTGGGTGGCTTCCCCCCCACCATCTCCCGGGAACGGGGAGGTCTGCTCAGCCTCTGCCCCCCCAGTCCCCTGGCTGACCCCTGCCCACCATCTCCGCAGGTGCAGGGCGACTACTACGGGGAGCAGCCGGCCCGCCTGGGCTACTTCCCCAGCAGCGTGGTGCAGGAGAGCCACTATCTGAAGCCCGGCAAGGTGGACGTCAAGACGGACGTGAGTGCGGGTGGGGATCCCGGGCGGGCTCCCAGGCCCCTTCACCTCCCCGACGTCTGACTTCTCCCTTCTCTTCCAGCGCTGGGATTTCTACTGCCCCTGATGCCCGCGGCTGCCTCTGTCCCCGGCATCAGCTCCCCGACCAGAGTCGCTGCCGCTGTCCCCAGCAGCTGCAGCACCCCTCGCTGTCCCTCGCCCCCGCTCTGCAGCAGGTCTCCAATAAACCCCTCTGTGCCGCAAGCCGCCGGCCTGGTCTCGCCTGCAGCTTCCAGGAGCCAGGGGCAGCACCCGAGACGCCGGCTCCAAGGGGGGGACAGCTTGGCACCTCTGGCGGGGGGGTGGGACACCCTGGTGGGGCAGGGAGAGGTGGTCTCCACCCCTGGAGACTGGACCCCCTGCCAGGCCGGGGGCTGGAGAGCGAGCGGCTCCCCCCCCCCCCCCCGCCCCCCCCCCCCCCCCCCGCGTCGCGGGAGCC